TCGGAGATTGTCAAAGGAGACAAGGACGCTTCTCCCCTTTGTCTTTCTCCCCAGGGGCTGCCTCCTCCTCACCCGCTCTAATCAGGGGGCCCAACAATCCAAACCCCACCCCTCAACGCCTCCAGGCTGCCTTCTGGCACAACTCAAACCCCTCAGATTGTTGGGACCAGACTTTAAGCCAAAAATACTTGTTTTCTATCGTAATCAGGTTTGGCCCCAGTATAAATTAGATAATGGGTTTCCATGCCCCCAAAATGGCACTTTCAATTTTAACATACTGTGTGATTTACACAACTTCGGTCAGTGCAATGGCAAATGGTCAGAAATCCCCTACATACAAGCCTTTTCTACCTACGCTCTTAGCCCTCCCTCTGCCAAACCTGTTCTCCTTCTCAAGTACTCCTAGCCTGAGCCAATCACTCACCGCTCATACCTCCCCTACTTTATAACTCTGTTGATAGGAAAAAGTTTTAAAGTTTAATAGGTTAGCTATTAAAGTAGTTGTGGAAGCAAACTAGGTAGTATATCCCTTTAAAAACTTGCCTTAGCCCATTGCTTCTGCTGTTTAAAGTAAAGGTTATATAGCTTCTTTGATTTGTAGCTCCACTATAGATAACATCCTAACTAAAGAACAAAGTGGGAATCCTTGAACAAACTTGTGAGACATGTGCCTTACCTGTCATGTGTTTAGGGCTGTCATCAGTGGCAGAAACCACCTGTGTCTAACCATTAAACAGGAATTGGAACTTTATTTACTTAACAAAGACCACTAAGGATGAGATAATGATGGACAAAAGTATAAAATATTTATAGTGAGTCGGAGACCAAATATTTAAAAAGCTATAAGTAAAAGACATATTTTTGATATAAAAGGATTTTATATGTTTGTCTTATTAGCAGGACAAGACCAAAAGGCCTAAGTACATCAAGAAGGTGTGTGGAAGTGATTTATAAAGGAAATATATATGTTTACTTGTTGGTTTCAAGTTTGTTATAAAAGGTTTACGGGGATAGAGGTTTCATTCCTTCTGATTTTAATTCTACAAGAAATCTCTGTTAATTGACTTACAAAAAGTTTTAAATAGTCTTATTTATAATTATAAACCTAAAATTATAAAGAGATTATTATTCCATTGGGCTAAACATATTTAAGTGCACTCTAGTTTTGGAAATTGTCTTATATCTTTGCTTTTTGTCCAATCGTACAGCTGTTTTGTTTATAGATAAAGGTTATTAAGTTCAAGGCATGCTCCCCTTGGTGAACAAAGGAGTGGCTACATGGAAATATTTTCCAGTCTTTGTTCACTAGGGGGACCTCAACAGTTTTCATCTTACAACAGGCTGACCCTATAGTTTTCATAGCCTTATAAAAGACTTACAGCAAAAAATATTACTTAAATATATTATTATACTCTGTTTACATCAGTTGTCATCAAAGGGATAAATTCTAAATATGTTTTTATGGTATGCTTACACTGGTCATTTTCAAAGGACTAAATATCCTGTAAAAACAATAATAACAAGGTTTTAATTTTTCTGGTGTACTAAATGTACTAAATGTATTTAGACTTTCTGGGTGTACAGGTTTTCTAATATTTGTTTGTGATAATAACCTCTTTCTGCTTCAGGTATTTGCCTTTTTCATACACTCCAGCTATTTATGACAACAGATACATATATGGGCTGAGGTATTTTCTTTAGATGGTATCCTATCAAAAGATAATAATTTTGTTTATTTATTTATTTTTTAAAATATTGTAATTTAGGTAAAAACTTTTGGTGTTTTTTTTTAAAATGAGTGTTTAACAATGGCTATTTTATATCAAGATGGACATTTAAATGTGTTACAAAGGTAAAGTCATCATAATTGTCATGTTAAAATATTATTTGTGGCTCTTTTTCTGTTAATATTCTACAGGAATTCAACTA